TGAAGGACAGTTTTTTGTTTTTATTTGTTTATTTTTTTGTGAGGAAGAGTGGCCCTGAGCTGACATCCATTACCAATCTTCCTCTTTTTGCTGAGGAAAATTAGCCCTGAGCTAACATCTGTGCCCATCTTCCTCTATTTTGTATATGGGATGCTGCTACAGAATGGCTTGATGAGGGGTGTGTAGGTTCATGCCTGGGATCTGAATCTGTGAACCCCAGGCTGCTGAAGCGAAGTGCCCAAAAACCACTATGACACCAGGCCAGCCCCAGGAATTTTTTAAAATTTCCAATCGATCAGAGACTGATAAAGATAGTAAAACTACAAGAAAAGACAAAATACAAGTCTGTTTCTTCATATTAGATCCAGCATTGTATGATTGCTATAAAACTGTTATAAAGATTTCTAAGTGCCTACTCTGTTTCCCTGCTTACCATAGACAGTCATAGCAGTTTGCAAACAGCACTGGTCTGCAGGCTGTCCTTTAAGTAGCACTGTTCAGAGAGATCACATCTTGGCTGCAGCTGGAGAACTGCTTAGAGGCAGAGAGACCAGTGGGGAGGCTGTTTCTCTGATCCAGCAAGTGGTTGTGGTGGTCTGGACTGGGATGCAGCAGTGGAGATAAGAGATTCCAGAGGTAAAGGCACGATTTGGGGAAGGGGTGGGTCTAGAGTAAAGGTGGGAATTAAAGATGCCGCCCAGGTTTCTGGCTTGGGCATCTGGTTGGGTGATGGTCATGCTGACTGAGGTCTGGACTGGAGGAGACAGATGTTTGAGGGAGGGTGATGAGCTCAGTACTGAACATATGAAGTTTATTTTTTATTGAGGTGTAATTGACATAGAATGTTATTATTAGTTTCAGGCGTACAACATAATGATCCAATATTTGTATATGTTGTGAAATGATCACCACAATGAGTCTAGTTAACATCTGTCACCTGAACATATATTAAGTTGAGGTGTATATGGGACCTGCAGTTGGAGATATCCAAGAGGCAGCAAGAAATAAGCATCTTGAGAGCAGATTCAGAGCCAGTGTGGTCTTTGATGGAGAAGAGGAACTTCCCTGGTCCAGACTAGCATTGACTCTGTCTTGGGGTCTCTGCCTGACATACCCGGCTGGTGGTGGTGCTCTTTGTCCCTGAGGGAGGTCTGGGGGACAGAGTGTGGGAGAGGGGAGGCAAGGGCATGGGTGCATATGTTGGGGGTAGGATTCAGGTGCCTTCTCTCTAAGAGATGTGACCTTAGCCAGCTCTGGGGGAGCTGCAAGTCTCACTGTCACCACTGGGTGGCAGGAATGCTTCAGACAAGTGTTCCATGGACTAGGGGATCCCCAGCCTTTCTCCTGTATTTATCCTTCTGCCCTTCTCCGAAGTTGACCTTTGGACTCCACAGAAGCGCTTACATGTGGGCCCCTCACCTTAACGATAGGGGCAGGAGCATATGTCCTGTTACTGAGGCTCTGGAGCTGAAGACATGGTGAAGTTGCTCCTGGAGTAAATACAGAGGCAGGCTGCAGTCCTAGAGCCTGCCAGGGCCTCTGGTCAGGCAGAAAGTTTCTTTCTTCACTCAGGAAACATCATCTCCAGGCTGCCCTGTGCAGGGCTCCAGGCAGAGGTTTTGCTTTTTCTAGCACAGGGACTGGCAATAAACAGGAGGGGCTCTGGAGGAGCCTGCTGGACATGACATGACGTGGGCATGCCCCAACTCTCTCCCTCTGTGCCAGTAGACTGTGCAGGTGCCCGTGTATTCAGAGCAGGAGTATCAGCTTTATCTTCATGATGACGCTTGGACTAAGGCAGAAACTGACCACCTGTTTGACCTCAGCCGCCGCTTTGACCTACGTTTTGTAGTTATCCATGACCGGTATGACCACCAGCAGTTCAAGGTGAGCCGGTGTTGTGCAGTTGCATGTGTGGCAGACCAGCTGCCTTCATGCCGTCCCTTTCACGTGCCTCTGAGCGTTCATTCCTCCCTTCCCCTTTGTCTTTATCCTCAGAAACGTTCTGTGGAGGACTTGAAGGAGCGGTACTACCACATCTGTGCCAAGCTTGCCAACGTGCGGGCCGTGCCAGGCACAGACCTCAAAATACCAGTATTTGATGCTGGGCATGAGCGACGGCGGAAGGAACAGCTGGAGCGTCTCTACAACCGGACCCCAGAGCAGGTCAGCCCTGAGCCCCACAAACTCTCCTCCGTGCCCTCAACTCCCTCCCCCAAGTCCCCTTACCTCCCACTGGTACCTGCATGCCTCCCCACACCCCCACCCCCATCCTACCTCTCACTGGCCACCCTCCCTGCCCTCCATAGCCCTTCACCTCCCTTATGATCCTTTACGTCTTGGATTCCTTCACAGATGGCCCAGCACCCCTTCATCTCCCTGTCTACCCTCACTCCCCGACGTGCCCTCACACACTTCTCAGCATCTCTCACTTTCCCAGGTGGCAGAGGAGGAGTACCTGCTACAGGAGCTGCGCAAGATCGAGGCCCGGAAGAAGGAGCGGGAGAAGCGCAGTCAGGACCTGCAGAAACTGATAACAGCGGCAGACACCACTGCAGAGCAGCGGCGCACGGAACGCAAGGCCCCCAAGAAGAAGCTACCCCAGAAGAAGGAGGCTGAGAAGCCGGTGTGGAGACTAAGTCAGCCCAGCTCAGCAGGGAGGGGTTGCCTGGTACAGGGGACCCGTAGAGAAGGGCTCTGAGGCATCCAGAGCTGGCAGGGTGCTGGGACTAACACTGGGCCTCTCCCGTGACACCTTGGTCTCTATAACTTTCTCCTCCAGGCTGTTCCTGAGACTGCAGGCATCAAGTTTCCAGACTTCAAGTCTGCAGGTGTCACACTGCGGAGCCAGCGGGTACGTGAGTCACCTCCATCAACATGTTTGGGCCCTGGGCTCTGGAGCCCGAATGCTATAGGCCATGGGGCTGGTGCAGTAGGAGATGTTGTGTCATGAGCTGCAGAGAGAGGTGGCCTCACTAGGCTCTCAGGGGGATGTGGCCAGGCTGAGGTCACAGCTTTCACTGTATTCCACCTGCTGGCTATTTCCTTTTCTGACTCAGAGCTGTCTCCAGGGGCTAACATCTCTACCACTCCCCAACTGATTTAGTCCCCTTCATCCTAAGCCACTTGTGGGGGAGAGGGCTTAGCTGCCTGGGTCATTGCAGATGAAGCTGCCAAGCTCTGTGGGGCAGAAGAAGATCAAGGCCCTGGAACAGATGCTGCTGGAGCTTGGCGTGGGTGAGTGTGGGGAATGGGCTCCACCTCCACAGGATGTACCCATCGGAGGCTGTGGATGAAGGCTGGGCAGGGGGAGGGCAGTTCCTGGTGCTGGCCCTCCACCACATTCTGGCTTTGCCCCTGTGCCTTCCACCCACCCACCTGCAGAGCTGAGCCCAACACCCACAGAGGAGCTGGTGCACATGTTCAATGAGCTGCGGAGTGACCTGGTGCTGCTCTATGAGCTCAAGCAGGCCTGCGCCAACTGCGAGTATGAGCTACAGATGCTGCGGCACCGTCACGAGGCACTGGCCCGCGCTGGCGTGCTGGGGGGCCCTGCCACACCAGCGTCAGGCCCAGCCCCGGCCTCTGCGGAGCCAGCAGTAGCTGAACCTGGTCTTGGCCCTGATCCCACCAAGGACACCATCATTGATGTGGTGGGCGCACCCCTCACGCCCAATTCGGTAAGAGCCTGGACAGGCTGGGAGAACATGAGCTGGCCCTGCATGTGAGCACACGCACATGTGTGTATATGCTCTGCTCCCTTTAGTGCCCGTGACAGGAGTCGTCACTCTGAGAGGTTCTGAGACTGAGAGTAGCAGTGGGTGGCCAGTGGGCATCACCTTCCTGAGAGTGTGAAACCAAGTCTGAATCAGGTCTCGGGCCACTGACCTCCACACCTTCTCTGTCTCCTCAGAGGAAGCGACGGGAATCGGCCTCCAGCTCCTCTTCTGTGAAGAAAGCCAAGAAGCCGTAAGAGGCCACAAAGGATGTGGGTGATGCTGCTGTGTAAATAGAGCTGCTGAGTTGGACTGGGCTGCTTCCTTTTCCTTCCCACCACTTCTGATGCCCCTTGCTGGGAGGGTGGGCAGGAGGGAGCACTACACCCACTCCATGGGGGTGGCATGGGGGCTTGCCTGCCTAGAGGCCCTAGCAGCCCTCTAATCACTAACTACTGCCAGTTTTGCCCAAACACCTGTACCGGGGAACACCAGTGGTCCTACACTCAAGATGGTCCACACGTAGCAGTGGTCTCAGATACCCACAGCTTCAAACATAACTTCGTGCACAGACAGTCCCTGTGCATATTCAGTGAGGGTCTCACAGCTGCTCCAGTCAGCACTAGCTGCTTCAGTCAGCACTAGCTGCACTGGTGGTCTTGAGCACAGAGCAGCCTGGAACACAGTCTAACCTCTGACAGCATCAGGCACAGCATGGCCTGGTTCACACACACACCCAGGGCTTCGTTTCCCCGACTTTATTCAGTGGCACGTTCACAGCGGGGATGGGGGTAGACACAAGGTGGGGCCTGATCTGTCCTGGAGCCCTGGGGGCACCACACACCATGCACTACGGATGGGAGGGGGCACAGGGGGGCTTGGTGGCCCCTGCAGAAGCCTGTGTACCAGGGAGGAGGCGGTGAGTGCCTGGGTCCCCCTAGCCCAGGCCCACAACGGGAAGGGCTAATACTGGGCTGAGGTTGAGGGGTGGGGGTGGGGGGGGGGCACAAAGTGCCTGCTCCAGAGGGGCCACGTGGCCAAGCCCTTACCCAGGGCACAAGCCCACAGGGCAGGCTGGGGGACACTCTGGACGTAGAGCTGTGCCACTCTCCCTTTTCCCCTCTGGTGAGGGGGAGGAGGGTTCTGGGCTGGGCCAAGCAGCTACCCTGTCCTGCCCCATCCCATCCTAGGCCAATCAGAATGGCTTCGATGTCTGCTTGAAGATGAAGCCTCGATATGCGAGTGTCTTCATGATGTTGGCAATGTTCTTGCAGTCATCTAAAAAGAGGAAGAGAAGACATTTAGATGGGCCCCAGCTCCTCCCCTTTGTGCCTATTTGTGCTCTTACATGGGTGGGGGGTGGGAAGCAGGGTCAGATTCAGGAGCCACAGGCTCTAAAACGGGATCCTGGTCCCTAGTGGCAGCATCTTCAGCTTCAGGTTGGGCTGGGTGATGCTAGGCCGGCAGGAAGCCTGGTCTCAGTGCTTCTCAGCCCCATAATTCATGCTGGAAATTGGCCGCCGTGTCCCGCCCCGGCCCCAGCGGTGATGTATGGGCGCCGTCGCAGTAAGAAAAAGGCAGAGTAAATGTGTAATTTCTCCCTTGACGGCCCCCGGCCGCTGGGCGATCCTTCTTGTTGCCGCCGCGTGGGGACGGCCCGTCCGCCACACTCCGTCTTCCCGCCACCCGCCTTGATGTCTCCATTTCATTACTGTGTGGCCATTCATCACGCCCATGGCCAGGGTGACTTTGCCGGCACTTGCGTGTGTAGATGTGGCCCAGACCATAATCACTGGTGACAAGGCACAAGCCTTGGCACTTCCAGTCCAGCGCTCTGGGAAACTCCCACCCTGGGGACAGGCTTATGTGCTCCAACAGCAACCTGCCTGGGCACCTGCTCCTTTGCAGCCCAACAGGTGGAGAGGGTCCAGGTTTGTGGTCCTTTTAACACCCTGGCCAGCTGCTGTCTACTAGATACACCTGTGTACGCCCCAGCCCTGCCTCTCGCACCTCAAGAAGCTCAAAGCTGGTGTTGGTCAGGCTTTAGCTGTGTCTCTGGCCGTATCTCAGGTTAAATATGTATGTGCCTGCCAGACCTTGTCATAGCAGTTTCTCCAGTATTGGTTCCGTGGGAAACAAAAACTGTCCTAGAACCCTGGTGGCTGCTGGAACAGGTACTCCAGGACCTCAGTATCATGGACGTGGGTTGGGACTTGTCCCACCACCACCAGCAGGAGGTGCAGCTGCCCAGCGTTTGTCCCTCTGTAGTAAGCCCAGGGCAGAAACGGCCCAAGTGCCTGGGTTTGTCTGTTCCACTGCCCAGAGCAGCCCTAACGCCCCGTCCCTTCACCTGCCTCTCCTCCCATCCCTCTCCTACCTCCCAAAGATGCTCCTGGGCCATCACCAGGACCTCAGCTGCCACCAACCCTCATGGGATTGATGCTGTGATTGCAGAAGTATCATACATTGATGTCATAATCAGGTGTGTAGGGGGTGGTAAGGTCAAGGTGGGGTCAGAGGCCTCCACATCTGTCAAGGACCAACCCCTTCCACTGAGGCCCACAGCCTGTCCTTTGCAGGACCTTAGACTAGAAAAGGGGACCCACCAGAGCTAGAAAAGGGCTGTGGGAGCGGGAGGAGTCGCTGGTCAGCCCAGGGCCTGTATCATTAGCCAGACACCAGCTCTGCAGACCCTGCTTAGGGCACATAAGATCTCTGGGTTGGGCCAGACAAGTCACACAGGGTTCTGTCTTGCAGAACTCAGTATGAATGTACCCATGGTGGGTGTGGGCATGGAGAGGTGACCCAGGACCCAGACACGGGGACACCTTGTTCCTGCAGGGACTCAGGAAGCCACAAGGGCGGGTCTGAGGCAGAACAGTGGGAAGACAGATGGATAGGTAGTGGCGGCCATGGCAACTCCAGACGTGACCCATCCCCGTGGTTTATGGGCCGGACACGCGCCCCGCTCAGCTGAGGCCCCATCATTTGTCTCCCTTAGTGTGTATGCCTGTGCTGTGGGGGTAGAGGGTGGAGGGAGGGGGCTTTGACAGGAGGAGCTTGGCAGTTGACAGGAAGGGGAACCGGGCAGGAAGAGCTGTGCAAGAGGGGTGGGGGTGGGGATGGGACAGGAGGCCCCCGGGAGGAGGGAGGGTTACCAGAGGGCCCAGGCGCTGTGATGGCACTATCAAAAGGGCTACAGTAGGGTGATTTTCTTCCCAAATAACTCTGGCCTCGTCAGGGCACCTCCAATCCTTCCTATCTCCTGCACTCTGGGGACCATGGCCGCTGTGCATATTAAGAATAAGTCCCCTCGTTATCTGCAATTACCCAGTGGCCACACACCTCATTTCTTCCAGCAGAAAAGAAAATTAGTTTTCTATTGACTTCATCTGGCTCCTCCCTCATTGCTGGTTAAATCGCTCAATCTACCTCCCCCTGGCCCAAGTGAATGTGCCCAGCCCCTCCCCGCAGGCCTCCAGCCATCCAGTGGGTGAGCACTGACCTCCCACTTGTGCCTGGCCCTGAGCCGGGAAAAGGTCCATGTGCCCCAGTCTCTGTCCTTGGCCTCTCCCCACGCTACACACTGGATGTTTCACCCCGATCCTGAGACCTTCAACTAGCCCTGAAGATCACCACCATCCCCAGCCTGGACCTCTGCTGGAGCTCCAGACCACAGATCCAAACGCCTCTGGAACATCACTTTTCTAGATATCCATACAAACTCAAAACATCCAGTAATGAACTAATTTTCTCCCCCAAGGTTCTTCAGTCCCCTGTGTTCTCCATCCCAGTGAACGACACCCCAAAATGCCCAAAAAGAAACTTGAGAGTCAGGCTTGACACCTTGCCCTCTCCCTCACTCCCTAAATCTGATCAAATATGAACTGAAGATGATTTTATCTTCTGCCTGATCATCCACTACCCTTCCTTCTAGAAGCTGCCCCAGGCCAGACCCTGCCATCTCTTGCTCTTAGGACAACAGCTTGTCCTCCTTTTCTTCCCTCCAATTCATTCTCTTGTAGCCAAAGTGATCTTTCATATACAAATCTGATCATGTCCTTTTCTCTTTAAATCCCTTCTGCGGTCCCCTTGCCCCCACTTTCAAGTTTACATGCTTTAATATGACTTACAGGTAAAGGCCCTACAAAAGCGGGTTCCGGCTACCTCTGGTCTCACCTCTACCACTCTCTACCCCAATCCCCATATTCCAGTCTCAAGGAACCACTTAGTGTTCTCTGAAAATGCCATGGTGGGTTTTGGAGTCACACAGACCGGTTCCCAGTCTTAATTTTGCCCATTGGCTGCGTGCCCTGCGGCAGGTGCTTGACTTCTTTGGACTTCAGGTTCCTGCACTAGGGGTGACAATGGATGCCCCCCCCCCCCCGGTGTCATTGTGAGGACTGAACAGGTGATACACCCACATGCCTTTGCACATGCTTCATGTTTGGAATACCTCTTCTCTTCTTGAAGGGAAGGCAAGGATGCTAATTTTATGGATGACCCAATGGTGAGAAAGTGTATACTGTACAATCTATAGCATAGATGACATAGAGGCCAGCACATTTAATGAAACTAATTGTCATTCACTTCACAAACTGACTGCTGATCCTGTGTACTGGGCATTCTGGAGTCTAACTTGTTGCAGCTGGTCCATTATAAAGAAGAAAGAGAGACCCAGATTGGGGAAGACAATTGTTCCAGTTCACCCAGCAAGATAGTGGTATGGCAGTTATGGGCTTCCAGCCCAGGCTCTTTTTCTAGTCCTTGAAGCCTTCATAAAAGTCAATGCTACCTCCTGATGAGTTTAAAGTCAATGGCACAGTTAGAAAATGAAGAAAACTGGGCAGAAGCAGCACAGAGACAAATCTGGGGCTTTAATAGGCCGTAAGTTCAGAGAGACAGCAGCACATGGTGACAACCTGGCCTCTTGGAGAGTCCTCTTATTGAAGCCCTGGGCCACCTGGGTCAGCAGCCCCACCTGCTGGCACCACTCACTGAGCTAATGAGGCCAGCCTGAAGCTGTTATGGGGAAGTGGTGGGAAGGGTGGGGGCCCACATTAGAGGTCTCCAAGAGCAGGTCTTCCTCACCTCCAAATTCTAGAAGACAAATCTGTTCTTATGTTCCTGCAGGGTCATCAACTTGAGACAAGATGACACTCTTCTCTTCTTATCTGGGCATGAATAGTCTTCACTTTGGAAATATTTTTATATTGCCAAGACTATAATGGGAGGGGTGCAGCTGCATCAATCCCTCAGAGAGGTGAGTGGGGCTAGCCCCTAACAAATGATAAGCTTGTTGGCTGGGCCCAAGGGCAGTCAAATATCTGCTTGGCAAAGGTGCTGCTAGTGGAAAGGTGGCTCAGATGGCTTAGGACACCCTGTGAGAGCTCACACAGGGCAACCACCTGAGGTGTACACATGCTCCAGTTAGCTGCTCTTTTCTGGGAACTGAACCACAGAGGACAGGAAGCAGGGCCTGGGCCAGGGCCACCCTCAGGAGGGAAGGGGCCCTAGGAAACTCTTGGAGGACCATTTATTCATGCACTCATTCCTTTAGCAAATACGCAGTGACACCTTCTGTGTGCCGGGTGCACACATGCCATGCTGGGTCACAGGGCTGCACAGACCCTGTAGCTCCCTGCCATCAAGGAGCTCAGAGACAGACCTATCAGTCGTGCAGTGTGAGCAGTGCTATGAGAAAAGGAGGCCCAGAAAACGCACCTCGTTCAGTCCGAGGATCCAGAAAGGGCTCCTGGAAGGACAAAGTCAAGCCGAGCTCTGAGGGGCAGGTGGGAGGGGGCTGGCTAACAAGTTGGGGTTGAGGCGGGGAGGTGTTCTTGGCATAGTGAACAGCAAAGGCACATTTCTGGAGGGGAAATGTAGAGTGTCCAGAATGATTTGAAGTCTAGCAGGTAGTGGGGGTGATGAAGACTAAGAGGCAGGGGAGTGGCAAGAGATGAAGCTGCCAAGGTCAGCAGTGACTGGCTAGAGGAAACCCTGAAGAGCCCTGAATGCTAAGCTAAGGGGCTTAAGATTATTCTGGGAATGATGAGGAGACACTAACATGTTTAGGGAGGGACAGGACAGGACCAGATCTGTGTTTCAGAATTATCATTTGAGGACTGGAGGGCTAAACCTTGAGGCAGAGACACCGATAAGCAGGTTGTACTGTGGTCCAGGCTAGAAAGGGCAGCCCAGAACTAGGCCAGTGGCAGTGGAGATAGAGGTAGAGATACATCGGTGATGTGGAAAAGTGGATGGAGGCAAGAGATTTTTAGGAAATGGAATGAGCAAGTCTTAATGAGGGGATTGGGAGGGCTGGAGGAGAGGAGTCTCGGATCTTAGTGCCACTCACGGAGATGAGGCAAAGAGAGAAAGTGCAGGTCTGGGGCAGTGATGGACTTAGCTTCGATGTGTTAAGTCTTGAGCTTTCTATGGGGACTTCTAAACTTACCAGGCATTTCCTTTACGGTTTCTAGGCCTTCTCCCTCCCAGTGTTATTAGAAAACTATCATATATTTTCTTTGAGTAGTTTCAGTTTTCATATTATTTTAATCTGTCTTGGATTTATTTTTATCTATGGTGAGAAATAGAAGATCTCACTTTATTTTTTCCCTAGTGGACAGCCAGTTGTCCAGTCACCATTGATTGAACTGTCCACACTTTCCCCACCCTTTTGAAATGATGCCTCTATCAAATATACAATTCCCACACATGGTCTGTTGGAGCCAAGAAAGAGAACGAACAAGAAATGATCAAAGAGGCAAACTGGACTGGGGGCCAGCGGGGCAGCAGGGTGACAAGCTGCTGACCTTATGGGGTGATGAAGCAGTGTTGCCTAAAGGAAGATTCAGACACAACCTGAAGCCTCCTGCCTAAAAAGTGCAGCCTGGTAACATACCTTATTAGCGATCTCTAGGGGCTGGTGAGGAAGGGCCAGAGCCCATGGAGCAGGGGCCAGCAAAGGGAGGGGTGGGGAGAACAGCACAAGGAGCAGCAGCCATGTAAAGATGAGAGAGCACAAACCCCAAGTGTGTCAATATTCTAGAACCTCATTTTGTTGCCACATCTGTCTGTCTGTCTGGACATCTCGGCAGCAGCATACCTGAGAGCAAAGGGCTAGTGGGTCAATCCCGAGCCTACTCAACAAAGGACTGCCAGAATAAATATGTACCCAGCACCACAAGGGACATACACTAAAAAATTATTTGTTGTTTATCTGGAATTCGAATTTAACTGATGTCCTATATTTTCATTAAATCGGCAACTCTACACTGGGGGCCAGCATCTCAATTCAGGATACAACAGCAAATGGTAGCTCAAAGGAAGATAGGGGCTACGCAGTGAATTTAGGACTGAACCAGCAGAGGGCCCCTGTATATCCTCAGATTCTGGGTTCGAACCCAAATGCCATCATTTACTAACTGTGTGAACTTGACCAAGTTACTGTACTTCATTTAACCTCTCTGTATTCCAGTTTCTTCTTCTCTAAAATAGGAATAATAATGATTAATTACAGCAACTACTTCCCTCAAAGGCTTGTTAGAAAGATGAAATGAGTTTTTATTTCTGAAGTGCTTAAAATAGTGGCTGGGTTAGTTATCATTATTGTTGCTGTTATTACAATAATATTGTTATTCCAACAGTTATACCCTGATATCCCACAACCCCTTGTTCTTTGTCCCAGCCTTGGCCCACATAATCCTCTGGGCCCCAAGATGGGCTACCTTGGCCCACCCGACACCCTGTCCTCAGCCACAGACTCCCTCTCCCCGCAGACACCCTCCCGCAGTTCCCTCCCGCTCCCTTGGAGACAGGGCCCTTGCAGCCTCAACTCCAAAGTGACCCCTCTTCTAGCCCCTCCCCTCGGCCCCCTCCACCCCACCGAGGTGCCTGGAGGTGCCACAGGGCTGATGGTGAAGGATGATGGTGGTTCTACAATAAGGGGAAAAGGCAATTTCATCTTGATTAGCAGGCGATTTCTCTCTCCGTAATAAGCGTGCTCCAAATAATTAGCGTGTTTTACGTAATAATGAAATTACAGAAATGCAGTCCACTTATTCAAACAACTCACCATTACCATATTTTTAAATATTAGACTTAATTAGAGTTTATCACTTCAGAGAAGTATGCGGACCGAAGATGTTTTTAAAAAAATCCTCATAAAGTGTTTATTAAGCGCTGGTAAAGCTAGGATAATGATGTGTTTGGAAATTAAGGCAATCAAACACTTACCGCCGCTCCTGGAGGCCGGGCATGGAAATGAGGCCATTACACGCCCATTACCCGCCAGCTCACAGCCACTTAGGGGGCGGGGAGAGGATGCGCCTGGCCGAGAGGGCATAGTGCCCGGAAACGCCTGTGCCAACATCCCACAATAGCCTGACCAGTAAGCACAGCATCAAACCCCTTATGTCACTTATATCACACTTGGCTACCAGGAGCCCAACTCAGACTTGGCCAGGCAGATGACTGGTTTGGCCCCAAATGCCACAGAAGATACCCAAGACCAATCCTGATCCAGACTCCCAGGCCAGGCAGGACACATCAACTCTATTCAAACTCCAGTGCAGAATGGGGACAGAAGCCAGGTTGGGCAGCCAGAGAGGTCAATGAGAGGAGATGGAGGTGGAGGTGGAGGTGGAGGAAGCTATGGACCCAGAGCAGGTGCACCACTCCCAACTCTGGGCCACACAGGAAGGGGTAGCTAGATTGGTGGGGAAGGATCTAGGAGGAAGCTGGGGAACTGAGCTGGGACCCAAAGACGCGGAGGAGCCAGGGGTCAGGCTCAGGAACACACCTGGGGACAGACCAGAATCAGGCAAAGCAGGCAAGAAGGGTGGCGGGAGAGGGGCTGATAGCTCCAGGCCCCATTTATCCCAGTGAATAACTAATTCCAGAATTTATAGTGCTGGGTTTTTGTTCTGTGGCCATTTATATCTGCGAGGGGAGGAAATGAAGAGGCAGCGCGGACGCCACATCTTTCTGTGTTATTGCTTGTCTGCCATTTGCAAATCATTATTAATTGTGGGCCCTAGTGGCGGGCCGGGTGGGGGCCGGGCTGGGTACATCCACATAGCTCTTCATCAAGGACCCCAGCCGCTGCCCCAGAGAGCCAATTACCCCGCCCTGATTGGGATCAGATAAAGAGGGAATTTTTACAAATTAGGGAATAAATAGAATTTCTACACAGGGCGCGGGCAGGACCTGAGAGGCTGTAATGAAAAACCATCCGTCACCATCAGTGTGGCCTGGGCACGCAGCCCCGGCACTCCCTCCCCTTGTGGGCCCACCCTAATGCTCAGGGGCCTGGGCGTACAGGTCTAAGGACACCCCAACCCCTCCAAGGCACGGAGAGGAGTTCCCCATTGGGCTGCGTGTACACCCTTTGCGCTGAAGAGGCCTAGGCCTCAGCTCTGACACTGTCCCTAGTGCCACCTCTCTCCTTCCCTCTCTGCCTCTCCCTCAGGTTCTTGACCAGGAGGAGACTGAGGCAGTCCTGAGAAAGGCCAGAGCTGGGAACCACAGGGCAGAGACCATATCCATGCCCCTACAGCTATGGCAGCCCTAGGGCAGAGCCCCAGCCCCGTGGACTACTCACTCTGGGCTCCCATTAGCGCTCCTCCCCTTGGATCATTAAATATGTATATCTTATTACACGCCTTGTTAGAGTATCGAGCTCTATTGACTGATGATAAATCCTGAGCCTCGTCCTGGCCATAAATTTATCTGGAGATGATGAAGACTCAATAATCTAGTCAGGCAGATAATATCATCGGGCCTTAAAAAAGATCATTACATTATATGTCAGAATTAAAAGTGAAATACGCTGTAGTAACAGGGCGGCTGCTCTGGCCATTACAACGGGTGCCCGCCTCCCCCTCCTCATTGCCAGCCAAGGCCCCATCCGGGTAGAGGGGCCAAGAAGCCTCGCTCTCCTCCTGGCTCTGGATGCCAGAGCTAGAAGTGCCAGAGGACAGCCAGATAACCTAAGGCCAAGTGAAGGAGGCCTGGCTGGGGAGAGGTTAAGGGTTAGAGGTGGCTACTGAGAACAGCTGAGCACATCTGCCATACCTGGCCACCACCTCTGCCCCAACTAGGCTTCTACCTGACGCTGTCCCTAGGGGTCTCCTGTGAGACTGTCTTCTGGGGGACCTTGAGTGGCTCCAATGGGAAGGTGACAGGCCTCACACCCTTCAGAATGGTCTAACCAACCAGGGCAGATTCTTTCCAAAATGAGGACACTGGGATACGAGAGGTTAGACTACTTGCCTGCACTGCCCAGGCATCTGTGACCCGGCCCCAGACCCACGTGCCAGCAGCCTATCTGAAGCCTTTCTTGTGAGCATGTGCTATCAATCCAGACCATGGCCACCTCCTTCCCAAGAGACCTGCCTGTCACAGCCTCTACACCCTGTCCTTTGAGAAACTTACTGCCAGCCTCTTGGTTCTTAGACCTCAGCACTAACGACCGTTTCCATTGTATCTTATTTCCACCCATTTCCACAGTCACGCCCTCCACCTTTCTAACATCTTCCACTGCTCTTCCTTTGAAATATTAAATTCAAATATCTCTAGTTACTGACAATAATACACTTTTTCTTTCATCGCATGGAACCTTGAAACCATTTATACCTCTACTCTCTCCCTCCTGTCTTCACTTTTTTCCTGTCTGCTTTTGACTGCTTACCCACAGCCATTCCCTCTCTGCCAAGCTGGCAGAGCCCACTCCTCCCTCATGTGCAAGGTCACTCCTCCACAGTTGGAGCCATTTGTGGTGATTCTATCCCCCTCGCTAGCATTGGTTTAGGGGTGGCCCTGTGTTCTGGCTCCTGAGACAGGAGGGTAAGTTTGCTGAAAGACCTTCAAGGAAAATTTCTTCACTCTTAAGAAGAGAAGCACAAGGGGAAAATAGTCCTTTATATTCTGCTGGATGTTTTCATGTCTGCACATAATGTCTGGGACTGCAGAAACCATCTTCCAACCTTGAGGGGAGCTGGCCTGCAAAGAACGTGCTGAAGATAAAAGAACAGAAAAATGGAAAAAATCTGGGTCCGTGATGACATTGCTGAGATGCCGAATTAACCAACCCTAGGATCACCTTATCTTCAAACTTTTGGGAGATAATAAATCCACTTACTATTTAAGATAGTTTAAATTGGGCTTTCTTTTTCTTGTAGGTGAAAGCATACCAACTCATACAGAATGTAAAAGGCAGGAAAGAGAAGGACATAACAAGTGGACTCTATAACGTAAACTTGGCAGAATGGAGGAGGTAGGGCAAAGGGCAACGAGGACACTGCTATTTCAGGCTAGGAAGCTGGTAACCCTTGTTATGCTCTCTCCAAACATTTGATCAAATTGTTTCTTTCTATATCTCAGGACGCTTGCCACGTTGCTAAGAAGGCTAAGAGAGTCAAGTTTAGACAGGAACCCACGTGAAAACAGAGAGAGAAGAAAATACAACTTTACTAAGAAAGGTTTTTCTTATGTCTATAGGTTGTAATCTAAGTTGATTAAAAGTCCACAGCACCACAAAGTGTCATCAGAGGCTCAGGTTTCTTTTTGCCCTGACCTTCTCAGCTTGTTGCTTACAATTTCCAGGATATCTCATGGTCCAAAATGGCTGCTGGAGCTCCAATCATCATATCCACATTTTACTAAAGAGGAAGAAGGAAAAAGCAAGAATAATGTACTTTCCAGCTAAGTCACTTCCCTTTAAATATTATTCCTGGAGGTCCTACAAAACACTTTTCCTTTATCTCACTGGCCAGAACTCAGAGACATAACCATATCTAGCTGTATGAGATGCTAAAAAAAAGTAGTCTTTTAACTGGGTACATACTGCTTCCCCTAATTACTGGGGCTCTATTTAGTGAGGAAGAAGGGCAATGGATGTTGGACATGTACCAAGAAGTTTCTGTCCTAGCAACATAACCGATACACCTCACTTTGGAGCTTGGATTCCATGGTCCATCATCTCAATCCTTTCTTGCTAATATTCTCAGCCCTCTTGCTCCCTTTTCCTTCCATCACCCTTGCCTGGAAAGACCCAAACTCCGCCTTCTCTATGCTTGCATCGAGGCTGAGTGTGACTAGAGAAAATCACACCATATAGATTTGTGCCACTCATAAAATCACAGTCATCAACCTCAAGTGGGTGTATAAAACTGCCCAATCTTCTATGTTCCTGATCAGTGCGCAGGCTCTGTCTCCCTTTTTCCCTAGCGACAATTTCAAATTTTCTGTTTTCCACAAATCTCACATCCCTTAGCCCCAACATCACCCCTGCCCTCCTCACCCACACAATCCTGTCTCCTACTTCACAGGAAACACAGAAGCCACTCTTCTGCATCTGTGCCAGTCCTCTGTTCTCATCCTGTCGCTTCTAAAGCCCATCCCTCCCCTGCACCCGGGTCTGGTGTCTAACCCTGCTGCCTTTTCAGGGCCTTACATTATGAGTAACTCCCTTTCTCTCTGGTCCCGCTTCAGTTGTTTCCTCTGCACTGCTTCCTTCACAAAAGCATGTAAAATATTACAGCTCTCCCATCTTTAAAAACAACCTCCCTTTAGCTCCTTTTTCCATGTGGCTAGTACCCCATCTCTCCTCCCTTTTATAGCCAAACTTCCGAGTTGCTACCCCTCCAGGCCTCATTTCCTCATTTCCTACCCTGCAATCTGATTTCCCACCAGTGCTTTACCAAACTGCTTCCTCTAATGATCCCCATGACCTCCTGGGGCTGAAGGCCAGTGGAAGCTTTTCAGGTTTAGATCGACCCAGCGGACTATCTCAGGCCTTGCTTGGCTTCAGTGACACCCCCTTCTCTCTCCATCAACCCTCCTCCAGCTCCTTGGTACCTTCTTATTTTTCTGAGCACCCCTAAGATGTGGGGTTGCTCAGAGCTGCCATTGGTCCTCTTCCCTTTTCACTCTCTACTTTCCCTAGGCAATTTTATCCACCCCTTAGCTTTATTTACCACATATTTTCCAATAATTTCTAAATCTATATTCCCACCACCACCATCCTGGTCCAGGGCACCACCGTCTCTCATCTAGGGGATAGCAGTGCCCTCCCTTCACAATCTCCTCCCTGGTGTCCTTCTAAGCCACAAATCTGGTCATTTCACTCCCTGTCTTAAAACCCTTCAATGATCCTGGAACAGAAAAAAGACATTAGTTGAAACACTGGTGAAATTCAAATAAGATCTTTAGTTTAGTTAATAGCATACTACCCACGTTAATTTCCTGGTGCTGATCATTGTACTGTGATTATGTAAGACGTCAACATGAGGAAAGCTGGGTAAGAGATATACAGAAACTTTTCTGCAAATGTAAAATTAGTTCAAAAAGTTTGAGTTAATTGAAACAAACAGCCACCTCCCAGAGGTGCCTCACTGCTCTCAGGACAGTGTCCAAACTCCTTTATAAAGCTCCGGGGTCTGCCCAGGTTCCCCTCTTGGCCTCATCCTTCCCACTCTCCTGTTGGGCCAGGGGTTCAGGCCTCTTTGGCCTCTTGCCTTTTCACTCGCTCTTCCTTCTGCCTGGAAAGCGCCTCCCTCACTTCTCAGCTGGAGCTCCGCCTTGTTCCTCAGAACGTAAGCTTGCTGTTTCCTGAGGGGCCTTACCTGGGTCCCCACATTTGCATTAGGAACCCCTTCTGTGTGCTCCCATAGCACCCAATGTTCCTGCATTGTGATTGCCTCTGTCACCCCTGCTGGACCACAAACCCCTTAAGGGCACTGATGTTATCTACACAGAGGCCCTCGGTAAATATGTATTAGGTGGAAGAAAGGAAGCACTGGAGGAAAAGATCAGGGGACAGGACCACAGGTGACCTACTCTAGCCCTGACATCTGCCACTAGAAGCCCAGACATGCCCAGGCCCTGAAAATCAGTCATGATCGTGTCCCCAGCTTCCAAAGTGCTGGAGACTTTGGCCCCTTCCCCACCTCTTCTCCTTCCTAGTATCTTGATTTCAAGACCTGCTGTGCCAGGACACTGACTGGGACCTGAGCTCTCAGCAGTCTGGCCAGCCTGTCCTGCAAACCGAGGCATCTGGGGTGGTAGCAGTGGTGTTGGGCCCCCCTAGTCCTAGCCAATGATGCCCTGGAGAAGGGCCTAGCTATGCCTGGGGACTCTGGGAGGGGGGCTGCCCTCCCTAAGCCCAGTCCCACCTGGTAAATATTTCATCCTCAAGCTGCTCAGCTAATCCCTATTAATTTCAATACAGCCGCCTTGCCTGGCTCAGCTCCCAATGCATTATTTATCCCCTTTGTTTGTTTGTCGCTAACAGGTGGGCCCCAGCGGAGGCGCTGACTGGGGACAAGCCTACTCCATCACAGTGTGGTGTGAATTAATCATGAGGACTAATGGGAACCACCTCAGCCCCAGGCACTTCGCTAACCACCTCCCCTCAGTGCACTCCCCCCACCTACCCCGGCCCTGGCACCCAGGGGTGGGCCAGGGCCATTTCAATTTACCTCAATTCAAAACAACACATTTTATATACTATCTGCCCACATAAGTCAGACACTGTTTCGTTTTGGGGATACAAGCTGAACAAAACAGACATAAGTTTCTGCCCTCAGGGAACTTACAGTCTAGTGGGGAGAGAGGCATTAAACAACTTATTTTTTAATTACCACCAAGACAAATGCTATAAAGGGGAGGTGCAGCGTGCTATGAAGGAGCAGTGCACAGGGGAGGGGGACCCGACCAAGTCTAGGAGTCAGGGAAGGATTCCCTGGGGAAGCAAATTTGGAGCTGCACTGTGAAGGATGAGCAGGAGTTAATTAGGCAAAGGGGTGAGAATGGGGGGCTCCCAAGGCAAATAAAACCACATGGGAAGGCCCTGAGGTGAGAGAAGGCATGGCAGGTTCCAGAATATGAGGGAGGGCACTGTGCCGGAGAGCAGAGGGCATGAGGAGAGCAGCTTGAGAAGGGGTAGGGGACCTCGCCTACACCAACAAGACCCAGCCTGGGGACGCTCTTCTCCCTAAACGACCAGCATTTGTCCTGGTGGCTTACCAAGGAGTCATCCTGAACACTCCGATACAAACACACACTAACAGCCCCTCTGCTAACTAGAGCAACATCTCATTTCTTGGCCTTGTGCTTGTGGCTCCTGAGAGGCGGTCAAGATCACCAATCCTCAGCTGCAAAGATCAGGAAACTCAGGTAAGCTCTTGGCCTGCAGGCTTGCAAGGGGCCTGTGTGGGCCTCTCAGTACCCTGAGGCCTAGGGCCATGGACCCTGCGGTGGGACCAGGCCTAGGGCTGGGAACACTGAGCCACCTCAGCCACAAGTGCTCACGTTGCCTCCCAGCAAGGAACATCCCTCACCTCTGAAAACCCAGGACTGGCCTGGCACCCAGAAGACTCAGCAAACATCCTCTGAATGAACAACTGAACAAAAGTGAACACCCCACCATCTCCCAGAGGGATCTCCTCCCAAGACACTCCCCTCAAAATTTTCCAGAGATTCAGAAAGAGAATGGAGCTAGCTTGTACTCAGGGTTTTACAGTACTTGCAAATGCATTATCTCCTTCACCTTCATAGTAAGCCTGAGAGGTAGGGGCCAACATCAACCCCATTTTTTTTTAAAGATTGGCACCTGGGCTAACAACTGTTGCCAATCTTTTTTTTTTTTTTCTGCTTTATCTCCCCAACCCCCCCCCCCGCCATACATAGTTGTATATCCTAGCTGCAGGTCCCTCTAGTTGTGGGATGTGGGACGCCGCCTCAACGTGGCCTGATGAGCGGTGCCATGTCTGTGCCCAGGATCCGAACCTTGGGCCGCTGCAGCGGAGCGCGCGAACTTAACCACTCGGCCACGGAGCCAGCCCCCTCAACACCATTTTAAAGAGGAAGAAACAAGGCTCAGGATGGTGAATGACTTACTCAGGACCACACAACCTGGAAGTGATGAGCCTTAACTAGGAGGAGGTCCGCTTGGCTCCTGGCTCCAGCATATCCATAGATCCACCCCCTCTGTGGGCATTTCCCCAGGGATCTCTCTTGGTGGTTCCAGGGACTCTAGCTCTCCATAACCATCTAAAAGGCACCTTGTTTATGAACCAAATGTAGCTCTGCCAGGGCAGAGGCCTCACTGTGCACATGGTCAGGGTTTGTAATTCTATTCAAAGTGGCCACTTTGAAAATCCATATGTCTCCAGGCTCCCCGTACATCATGGTGTCAAGTCCTGGAGCAGAGGCATCCATCAGCACCTCCCAACGCCATGGTCTGTGTGCCCACACGCCTGATCCCACCGCGTGCCTGTCCTGGGCTCCCGGCTGCTGTGGCGGCACTTTCTCACCCTGTGCAAAGGCTCACGCTTGGCCCAGCCTTACCCTTGCCTCAGACTGGTCTGGCTGCCGCGTCTCTCCACCCTCATCCCAAACGCCTCCTCTGCCCTACCGGGTCTCTGCTCTCTTGGAGCTAGGCAGCCAGCACGGAGGCAGCCTCGATAACTCGCTAACGTGCTGCCCATGCTGTTCTTAAAAATTTATGACTGTGCAACATGAAAAATCCGGCTGAGG